TATCAATCTAAGACTGACTCTCTGTCATGGTTCGTTAGCAATAAACCCATTCATGATGACATAAATATTTCGTATGTTAAAATGCCTCTCCATAAAACATCATGTCAGACCGAGTAATAACATGAATCCTTTGTCAATTGCTCTTCTTAATGGATCCGACAAGATTAGAAGATTGACTTTAATTTACTTTTTTTAATAAATCATCTCAGTTAGTTTGCATAGTCTTTCTCTGCAGTCTGCATCTTTGTTGCTTTCCTCGCCTTTCCACAACATTTGCTTGTTATTTTTCCGACTTATTCTAATTAAATTTGAAAGAAACCAAAGAAAAATACAGTGGACTCAACAGTCAATTCGTAAAATGACTTTTCAAAGTAGGGAGTTGTATGAGAAGCGGTCGAAAAAGAGGTCCGATCCGAATCAATTTCAATATCGTTTGTCCTTGGGAAAAACAGGTCGGTGCACCAAATTTCCTCAAAATATTTTAAAACTTACAACCTTGAGGTTGAACAAAAGAAACACGAAGACGGACAGGCGGACAGATAAACTTAAATCGATTGACAAAATGATTCTGAATTGATCGGCATAACGAAAGAAGCGTCTATTTGTGGATTGAACACAAGAAAGAAGCACAGATAGACCGACAATAGAAGATGGATCTATCTCAGGTCGTTTAGGATATTACATATATCCGCACAAACTTAATATAAGGTAAACATATGCAAGTGATGTACTGTGTAAATAATAATTCGGGACATTGCTTGCCAAAGACTTCAAAAGGAATGAGTTTTTTTGTAATTCATTACGCAGTCCTGCAGTTGTTGCTCATGTATAAAATGATCGCTAAACATTATATATTCAATCGAAAAGGTCTAAAAAAAAAAGTTCAATATTTTCTCACGATGGCAGAGCGGAATGGGTGTTCAATAGTCATTTGAAGCCTAATATGATTTCCATTTGTGTTTTGTGCGCGCTTAAGATTAACTACCAATGACGATTGTGTTTGTTTTGCGTTCAGTAAAAAATAAAAGTTTTTATCTCTTACACACGCGACCTTTTCTTAACTTTTACTAACAAAAAAAAAAAAAAACAAAAAAAAAAACGATTTATTGTTTCTGTTTCATCTTTTACATCCGCAAACAAAGGAACTATTTTGTCTTTTACTTCTTATTTGTATGCATTTTACAGTTAATAACCTTACGTATTGAATATCTTGTTTCATTAATGTTTATAGTTTTAACACAAAAAAAAAAAAAATAAATAATTAAAATAAGAACAAGACAAAAACGTAACGATGATATTCATTTTTAATATAAAACCATTTACATAGAAGCACGGCAAACATTTCCAAATTTCAATTTTTAAAATCTTTTCACACGCGAATCAATATAATGCATTTTATTTTATTTGTGAAATTAATTGTTTCGTACTCTCAATATTGAACAGGCCAGGCCTACTTGCGTAAGTTTGCCGAGACAAGATAATACAAAAAAATAAAAGTGCTTAGCGCTATTATATAATTACTTGAATTTTGCTTTCATTCATTCAGTTTATCATAGGAAAGTTGTACTGCAACAGATTACATTGCATTACATTCCTGACTGAATTGTTGCTCATTCCAATGCATAGCGTGTTAATGCGGCTCATTCTGTTCATCAATTCAACTTGAATTTGTTAATTAATTAATGCATTAGAAGACCAAAGAACGATTTGGTTTCATTTTTTATAAAAACAAAAAGTCAAATACATTTATGTGCGTAACTTATATAGATATATAAATATGAAGTCGGAATTTTTCTGTTTACTGCATGAAAAATATTTTATTGTTCATCGTTAATTATTTCTCCCCACTTGTCTGACAATGTGTGGATGCCATTTCTTTAAAACTCTTCTCCTTTTGTCGCCACCCATTCATTGAGTCGTTTTTTTTTCAAACATCTTAAGCTTTTCCTTAAGACTGGTGAGTAAGCTGCAAGAACTAGCACTTCTTAGTTGAGTGTTTCCAACGTGTTGTGAACCGATTTTGTTATAAGGATTAATAGACGGATAACATATAAAACAGTGCCCTCGTGTTGCTTTCCTTGATATTGTAGGCGTTTTTCGGAAAAGCGATTAATTGTTGGTATCAAAGTTTAGAATACTAAATAAACCGCTCCGGAATGTCTTTAGTTAGCTCATGTATATGCAAAATATCTCTTCCATTAGACAACCTCACATCGTGAAAGTAAAAGAACACACAGTGTTTTAAATTTTTATATATAATTTTCATGCTTGCTGTCTCCCTCTTTTGTTCTCAAGATATATTAGCGACAAGCTTAGGTATTCAGGATCTGTATGTAGGATTAAAGAAGCACTAGACGACTGCAGCTGATCCAACAAAACTCTATATAGCTTGCAGAACTCAATGCTCATGCCTTTCTGATCACTTGATGATTAATTACAATTAAATAAGTAACGCTTTCGCCATTCACTGTTTAGAATTTCTTAGAAAAGCATTACAGCACACTCTCTTCTTATACGCTACATGACTTGTGGGACAAGGGTATCTTTAATTTTTGCGGACGTATACAGCAATATCTACAACAGATCTATTACTATATCGTTCGAGCTTGTCTTTTTATATCCTACACCGGTTGTCGTATATTAAGTTTGTGCGGGTGTACACAACATCGAGAAGAACTTAAGATGGACCCATATGTTATTATATCGATCGAGCTTGTCCGTCCATCAGAACGCGCTTCTTGTATTCAACCTATAGGTCGCAATTTTTGAGATATTGTAATGATATTCGGTACATCCACAAGTCTTGGCCCAAGGAGAAACGTAAATGAATATGATTCCGATGGTAACACTTTTTCGACAATATATTCCAGCTTATTTTGAAATGTCGTTGTGTCGATAACTGTGTTAAGGGAAGTGGTGTAGGCCATTTAAAGCAGAAAAATAGGGTAGAAAGATTTAAGTACGCGCCGTTAATATTCCCGATAAAAATATTAGAAAATCGATCTTTTTTGGTAAATGATGATTGAAATAGGATTAGGATTGAAATGATCAGGACGGGTGCCTAGTAGGGAAAACATTCCTTAGGGTATAATTACTTGCCGATGGCTGACTAAGAGTTAGAGCAGTAATTCTATCAATAGACGATTCGACTAAGATTGGATGTAATTTTGCAAAGCTACGAATTTTTACATCAATTTTGCTAAATAACTAATTTTGAAAATGTTTTCAAAGATAGAATGGTTGATATTATCATTTTTGTTATTATCTATTATCCGGTTATCTGTCATATCAATAATTTTCTATATATGTATATAAATTTAAATGTTCTGCGGTAATGTCTTTTATAAAAATTTGTTACATTGTTGTTTAATGTTTGTATATATAACACTTAAAGAATATTAAAAAAGCGCAAACAATACTTGAAAAATTAAAAAAAACTCGAATGATAAAAAAGAGATTTCAAAACGATTACATCAGAGCTGCGTTAATTTGCATTCAATTCTTAATAGATCTCAATTTTTTTTTGATTTCTAGCAAAAAAAATTCAATTCAAGATTTTTAAAACCTCCACCGGTGCATAAGCACTGTGTATGGGTTATATTAAGGATATCAAATTATGTCACTTAGACTCAGTGACATTTTAATTGCATTCAAATTATGTTCTTTTCAAAATTAAGTTTCTTTCTTAATTGGAAGAGCCAGTAACGGGATATCCCTTGTAGGTATGGGCACGATAGTGAACAAGAAGAATTGTAAGTAAGAGAAGAGCAAAGAGTGGCTAATTTTGAACAATGAATAAGTGGTTTTTACTTACGTGTAAAAATATGGTGAATAACGAAAGAATGAAGAAGACCCACATAAAAAACTTATTCTTCCGCCTGTCCCTGCGATTTCATGCAGAACGTTTTTACATACGAGAATATATAATATTAACTTTGTGCAGATGTATGCAGTACTCAGAAGGCTTTGAGTTAGACTCGCTTTCCGCTATACCATTCTAAGCTTTTCTGTCCGTCTGTCTGTCTTTCTGAAAGTTTTTGACGTATTTTTATGAAATTTGCTACACTGGACGAAAGCGATTCAAAATAATTCGGATGGGGACACTTTCTCAACCACTTACCCTACTAATACTTACGCCTTATTTTGATATTGGTTTTGTCGATAACTGCAGGTTAATGAATGAATGGTGTTTAACGATGGTCCGTGACCAACTACAGTGTTTTTACTTCTTTTATTGTTAAAGAGTTTCAGCGTACCACTAGCATTGGGAATGAAGACTGACAGAGTAACATAGCAATACGATCAAATCTAAGCATAACACTCGCAATAGTCTTTAGATATTTGTTTGCAATTTATATGCAAAATTTAATAGATTTAAATAAATATGATCATGTTTTCGTTTTTATCCATCGATACGAGTACGTGTCGCAGTAGATGCCTTCTCAGCCCTAGTCATTGGGAATGAAGACTGACAGAGTAACATAGCAATACGATCAAATCTAAGCATAACATTCGCAATAGTCTTTAGATATTTGTTTGCAATTTATATGAAAAATTTAATAGATTTAAATAAATATGATCATGTTTTCGTTTTTATCCATCAATACGAGTACGTATCGCAGTAGATGCCTTCTCAGCCCTAGTCTTTACGAAAATTTTCTGCACTTTTCGGATTATTATGCACCTAATCTTTTTATTAATTTTATAAATTTTTTTTTTTTTGCGTTTATTGGGTTTAAACATTATTTAAATGCACATTAATAAAATAGATTGTAAATGCGTTAAATGTCTGGCTTATCAAATAGCTGTAGTCGTCTTCTGAATGATTTTTGTTAACTGTAATATTAATTGATGTGTGTTCACCGAATAAATCTTCTTAAAATTGTTTTAAATGTGTGTGACCCTTTGTCTTCACACCCATGGTCGCCGAGAGATCAGATTATATTTATTGGTCTTAAATCTTTTTTTTTTTTTGTTTTTTTGGTTCATTTGCGTATTAGAGTCTCAACCGTCTTGGAGATTCTATGGGTTCGTTGGGACATCGTGCTCTCCTACAATATGTGGACTCTAATGATTTATCTGGTCTACGAGCAATCTTAGATAGTCGTCATTTGTCTATAGATGATCGGGATGAGGTGAGTTTCTTCATAGCGTGCTTAATTGTTAATTGATCATCATTCCGTTTCCATTTGAATCGAAGAACGGTACCACGTTATTGATGGTGGTGGCAGGTCGCGGTCTCACACCTTTTGTACGTGAACTTTTGACACGTGGTGCTGACGTGCATGGCGAAGACAATGATAATTGGACTGCTCTCTTGTGCGCTACTAAAGCCGGACATTTCGATATCGTTCAACTGTTGATAGAGCACGGTGCGGACTTTGAACATCGTGATATGGTAGAATTATAAAAATTTATTATTTTTTAAAAGTTTTGATGTAAAGTAACGCAAACATTTGATTCCTTTAGGGAGGTTGGACACCTCTGATGTGGGCATCTTATCGTGGCCACGTCGAATTGGTGCGTTTCCTTTTAGACAAAGGTGCTGACGTTAACGTTCATGGAAATTACCATTTGGGTCCTTTGCTTTGGGCAGCTGGCCGTGGGTTCAAAGAAGTCGTCGAGATGTTGATAAGTCGTGGCGCGAAAGTAAATGTAGGCGATAAATATGGTACTACGGCTTTGGTGTGGGCATGTCGCAAGGGTAATGTAGAAATTGTGGATACATTATTAAAAGCTGGAGCTAATGTCGACACAGCAGGCATGTATTCGTGGACTCCTCTTTTGGTGGCCGCCTCGGGTGGTCATACCGATTGCGTAACTTCGTTACTGGAAAAGAAACCAAATGTTAATGCTTTGGATAAGGATGGTTTAACCGCCTTAGCAATAGCCAGTCGTGAAGGTTATCAAGAAATCGCTGCCGCCTTAATAGCTGCCGGAGCATATGTAAATATACAAGATCGGGCCGGTGATACTCCACTTATACACGCTGTGAAGGGCGGTCATCGCGGCGTCGTTGAGGCTCTGCTTAAAAAACACGCCGATGTCGATATACAAGGGAAGGACCGAAAGTCTGCAATTTACACCGCTGTCGAAAAGGGTCATACACAAATCGTAAAAATATTAATACACACAAATCCCGATCTCGAGGCTGCTACCAAAGATGGGGATACCCCGTTACTGAGAGCCGTTCGCAATCGTAATTTGGACATGGTGCAGATGTTATTAGATCGTAAAGCCAAAGTGGCAGCTAGCGACAAACGTGGGGATACCTGTTTACACATTGCCATGCGTGCCCGTTCCAAAGCCATTGTTGAAGCTCTGCTCAGAAATCCCAAGAATAGCCAATTGCTTTACAGGGCCAACAAGGCTGGAGAAACTCCCTACGTTATTGACACCGCTCATCAGAAAACTATTTTAGGTCAAGTATTCGGAGCCCGACGTTTAAACACTAACGAAGATTCGGAAGGGATGCTAGGCTATGAGCTGTATTCTTCAGCTTTGGCTGATGTACTTAGTGAACCTACGCTTACAATACCCATCACTGTTGGGCTGTATGCCAAATGGGGCAGTGGCAAGAGCTTTCTCCTCAATAAATTGCGTGATGAAATGACCAATTTTGCACGCCAATGGGCGGAACCTCCAATACGCACTGGTGGCTTACTATTTTTAGTGTGCTTTCATGTAGCCTTAGTATTGGGGACTACAGTGGGGCTAGCAACGTGGTCAGTTTTATGGGGACTGCTGACGGGCATATGTTTTTTAGTTTTAACTTATCTCCTGCTGGCTGTCATACACTATTGCAATTATCAAATGGATTTAAATTGGGCCTATTCTGTAGACCATGGCATAACAAAACGAATTAGTCGCTTAAGGCTGATACTGCAGGTGGCTTTCTGTCATCCGCCTGGTTCCCAAGCTGATACGCAAGCAAAACCAGTGCGATTTCATTTCGCCGAAGCCAGCAGCGCTTCTCCTACGGGAGAAGGAGCTGTAGCCCATATGTTAGCTTCACTATTTGAAGCTATAGAAACTCATTACGGTTGGCTTTCGACGCGACTATATAGAGCTTTTCGTCCCAAACCTCTTAAAATTACTGCCGGATGGCGATGGAGGCGCATGTGTTGTATTCCTATAGTTATAATTTTCGAATTGGGTTTAATCAGTTTCATGGTGGGTATTTCCTTGGTGGTGGCTTACTTTATGCATTCTTCTACTGCGGAGCAAGAACGTATCCTAGTCTTCATTTATGTGATTTGCGTAGTGCTAATATCCATAATTTGCACTAACTTACACGTTTTAGCTAAGGCGCTTGGAGCCTTATTTATATCACAGGGTCGTCATTTGAAACGGACAGTACGTTCTAGTGAAGGTGCTCCATTAACTGCACTCGGGGCAGAAGTAGCTTTAATGACGGATATGGTAAAGGTAAACCTTTTCAAGCCTAGATAAAACCAATTCGTAATATTCGTTCGGTTTCAGTGTCTCGACGCCTTTACTACACAACAGAGTCGTTTGGTAGGCGTGGTAGACGCTTTGGATTCCTGTGATACTGAACGTATACTGTCGTTACTTAATGCGATTCAAACTTTGCTCTCGTCACCCAACCGGCCTTTTGTGGTATTGATAGCTGTCGATCCACATGTTATAGCAAAAGCGGCTGAAGCAAACAGCAGACGTTTATTTACCGAAGGCGGTATCGGAGGTCATGACTTTTTACGTAATTTAGTGCATTTACCGGTTTATTTACAAAACTCGGGGCTACGTAAAGTGCAACGGGCTCAAATGACCGCTTTGCTATTCAAACGCAATTATAGCGAATTGCAAGGTGATGACGGCCCCGGCTTGGGTCATTCAGTATCAGCGAGACGTTTATCAAATGCTTCGGAAATAATGTCCAGCCAAGAAAAATTAAGGAATCCTCCTCATACGAATCGTGGTGGAGGCGGTAGTGGTAAGAAATTGCGTATGTCTGAATCGGTAGCCAGTTCGATAGGTTCAAATTTACATCGATTGGGACAAAACCCTCAAGGGGTTTTAGATTTATCTAAAATTGTATTAACTGATGATTACTTCAGTGATGTTAATCCACGCAGTATGAGACGTTTAATGAACGTCATCTACATAACAGGTAATTGAGAAGGGAACGTCTAAGAAAATTTACTATTGATTTTCTATTGGTTGCAGTGCGTTTACTTAAAGCATTCCAAATAGATTTTAGTTGGTATCGTTTAAGTTCCTGGATTAATTTAACCGAACAATGGCCTTTGAGGGCAAGTATGATTGTTTTACATCATGATCAGTATATGGAAGCATTTGATGATTTAGTTCCGCTACAAACAGTTTACGAGAAGTAAGTCCCACTAATTGACATCCTAATAAAACATTGAAAACTGCTTTGACACTTCCAGGGTACGACCTAAGTTAGTGTGCTTGCGTGAGGCTGCACCTTTATTGGAGCTAGATCGTGATGAACGTAAATTGGATGCTTTTCTTCAACTTCATAAATCTGACTTATTGGTGGCCGACTTACGCATATTTCTTCCATTTACAATTAATTTAGATCCATATTTAAGAAAAGTATTAAAAGGTCGGTGAAAGTCACGTTTACACCAATTTACAATTAATTGTATTTGATTATATAAAATAGAAGATCAACAGTCCATTGAAGATGAAGGCTCTATGGTTTTACAAAATCGTCCTAGTGTTCAAGCTACTATGCGAATACCACCCACACCTACCACCTATGTGCCTTCGCCTATGGGAGGTTACCCTCCGTACCAAATCCTGCATAATGATTATCACATACAAGAGCTGCGGCAGCGTAATCTAACCTCTAGTAACGAAGTTGCCGTGACACCTCTGCTAAGTTCTCCTGCTGAATCGTTTGGGGTAAAGTAGAGTACTTTGTTTAAGATTTCTTTTTAATAGTTGACCGTGATACGATGACCAAAAGTAGAGAGTACTCGAAAATGGTTTGGATGGAAGTGGAAAACCCAATAAAAACTCAAAACTCAGATGAAAGTTGGAGTCAACTAAAGTTAGCTAATAAGTACAAATCAATGATTGATTAAAGGCTTCCCGATGTAGCAGATATGTAAAACTAACGCAAAAAGTGAAATGATTATAAGTTTCCATCATAACGCGGATTACTTATTTCACCTCATGAAAAGTTAGCTAACGTGGCTTAAACTTAATATGTCGGGCAGGCACGGAAACTGTAAAACTCAATATTCTTATCTCCTTACCATCCATTTGTGATATAAAATTTTAAAAAATATTGTTTTTATGTTTACTAAATTATTAGTTTGTTGATAATCTTTTCAAAATTCCACTTTCTTCTAGGGCGACATATTAGAAGCGAAACTTAATGATTTAACGGTAGAAGGTGTTATTAGTCTCATCGAACGAATAGATGATCTTAAACCTGCTCTGCCAAAATTAGCTCCTTTATTACGTGAAAATTCTATTAGCGGTCGTGTCTTAAAATATTGCGAACTTAATGACTTAAAACAGGTAAGAAGTTTAAGCAATTTTTATAACCAGTTTATGTTGAAACATTGTTCATTCCCGACAGGTGTTACAGTTAAGCTTTGGTCATTGGGAGTTGTTTCGATTACTTATAAATACGTTGCGTGATTATGAGAAAAGTCAGCGAAAAGCGAAAATGACTCCCGCCATAGTTGATACAGCCACCACCACAAACGTCTCCACCGCCACTACCAAAGATACCCATGACAATCACAATTTATCAGTTAATCCAACGCATACAAGAAAAGGCTCAGCACACATGGAAAAGCAGGTACATATATATATATTGCACGTATGTGCACTTTTTAAAGATACATTTTGTAGAAATCATTGTTATTTGCGGCATATATTGGATTGTCTCTTGTCATTATTATCATTTTTTTTAGCTGAAAAGAAAACTGTAATCACTTAGGAATCGCTTTAATATAAGCATAAGCAAAGTTTGAATTGCACAACACAACAGAGTATAGATGAATTAATTCAATTATCTTACTTAATTTTTTTTACTTTTTGTTTATAGTAAATATAATTTCGAGGAGAAATACTTCCTAAGTATATAGCAAAGTATTTTGTTTTTTGTGCAAATTTCATACTTTTGACATGCCTCAAGCATAAGCACACTTGTGTCATCAGACGCAAATTAAATCCATTTTCGTAAAGTGCGTCTGTTTTTTAAATTGTAGAAAGATCTTGAAAAAACACTGATACTAGTCAGATATAAAAGTGGTTACAGATCAAGACACGCTCGACTGGGTTAAGGCGAAAATTTTTGATTTTTTACAACATGGAAATATCTTGCATTTAAACACATGTAATCAAAAAAAAAAAAAAAATTTAATATATTTTGTTTCACAATTTTATCCTTTTTCGAAAAAAACAAATTTGCTAAATTATTTTTTATGTTTTCTACATTTTTATTGTATGAAAAAAAAAAAAATATATAAATGCAGTCAAAAGTCCATGATTATGATTTTCTCCAGGTAATAATGAAATAATCGACGTAAGAAAATCTTGTTTTTCTTTTCCAATTAGAAACCTTTGATGTTGTTTTATTTTAATGTTGATGATATGAAATACACTCAAAGAAAATTTGAATTCCTTGTAGGCTTTTAATGCTAATTTGGATGTAACCTATTTTAATATCGAACATATTAACATTTTCGGAATGTGCCGACATTCTTATTTAAAGCCTTTATATGTCTGTCTATAATATATTAATTCTACTTTTTTTCTCTGCACGTCCTTGCGTTTACAATTTTTTAAGAGCACTCACAATCCAAGGTTTTCAAAATAAAAGCTCTTTAATTTTCTTTACCGCAAATACATATATAAAGAACATCATTGAGTAAGTTTTGATAGTAAGACCATGCAGTTGTTTTTATTGAAGGAGTAAAAATAAATATATGACTCGATCTTACTCTATTACATATTTTTACAGCGAAACGACAAACAATAGCAAATGTTATTTGTGGATCGTTAATGCGTGGCGTTTCGACTATTTTCCTTACTTATCTGCCGAGTGGCCGAGTAGGTGAAAATCACGAGTACCAAGCCAATGTTCGCGGTAGAGTTCACTTTGATACGATGCGATTGAGTACATACTAGCTACGGTCACAGCCTCCTTACCCCTTTCTCTCTTCTTCCACATTTTTCTGATCGCCACCGTGTTACGCAACAATAGGGGGCATTTGTTTTCCCAGAATAATTTTTTTTTTAGATATCACTATAAAATTTATTACATATATCAAGTGATCAATCCTTGTTCATTGTACCGATTGCTTACTTTGAGAAAATGTTTTTGTGCCCAATCAATCAATCAATCGATGAAAAAGGAAGACCGATTTTCGATCTACCACGGCCATCTAGCCGCTTGGCTGCGGACTTTTTAATATCACCCATTAGTTGAAGCCACCAATTCACTCGACATACACCGCACATTGTATCGTATACCTTTTATTTCGTAGTGCATACTTTACATCATATTTTTATGCAATTTGGTAACACCTTGTAGATAACCGAAAATATCTAAAATGCATGAGTAAAGTTTAACCTTCCCAAGTAAGAGATAATGAAACTAAAAAAAGAAGAATTGCAGGTTGCCACGCGTGGGAGGACGCATGGCTCAATTCAATTCACTTTCAACATTGACCTAATGAGAGGTATAAGCAAATAAATTGAAGTTCTGTTTTCATTTTCTAAACAAAGACATGAGATTAAAGGCCAACTTTCAACAACCGCATAGGCAAAGGGATGAGGATAATTCGAATCAATCTACAATAAAGGTGTTTCTGTATTTAGGAAATCCAAAATTCTTGCGGAAGGGCCTTTCGTAGGAGAAAGGGAACAAATGTTGTCTGCGATTTATATATACCAAATTTGGGACAAGTAGATCGCGTTTAAATTTCCCAAGAAGTAAGCCCTTAAATGGCTATAAAGCCTGAGTTTGCACCGTCTGACGAAAGTAGAGGAAGAACGATATGATCCCTGACAAGGTTATGAACTTTGCTAAATTTGGGCGGCTTCAGTTCATATTTTGATCACGCCCCGCATAGAAGCGGGGAGGCTTGCATGAAAAATATTTCTTAACAAGGCAACAAAGAATAACTTTTGGTATTTTTTCACGAAAATAAACGAGGAACTCTATTAGGCGAAGTGGCCTTGATCAGCCTTGCTAGGCTATAATGATGTTATTGCTTTATTTGTTAAATTTTTTTAAAATAGAACTCACCGAATCCCTTTTAAATTTATTCAAATAGAATTTCATTTGTTTTTTTTATTGAAAGAAATCCTAATAATTTTTTCTTTGAGTGTGTAAATGTGTTTTTACGTAGATGTTGTGATATAGCAAATTTTTGCAAAACTCTGATTTGTTTTTTTTTTTTTTTTTTATAGTAAAAGTATATTTTGGATAAGTAAATGTAAACTATTTAATACTTAATCACATCATAATAACCTTAATGTTGTAGTTTTCAATAACAAAAACAAAAAAAACAATTTTTATGAAAATTGCAAATTTGGCTTCTTTTGAGAATTGCTTCCCTTTTTTTATTTCTATTAATGTAAATAAAAAATTTTGCTTGCAAAACTTTTGTAATTTTTCGGGTGAATGTTTACTTTCAGGTTACCTTAGAAGAGCAGATGATATGCGGTGCTTTGCAAACTTTAAATGAGGACGCATTTGAAGATGTGGCCAGCAGTGAAAGACCTAGTCCTTCGGGCTTGCCCACAGGTGAGATGATAGCGGCGGCAGCTGCTCAGCTGCATTTAGCACCCATACGTGAATCATCGGAATTTGGTTCACCATCCGATGAGCTTAAAATTAATAACAGTCTCTCACCAACATACGCCACTACCAATAATTACAACAATCCTAGTGTTAATAATGTTGTTAACTCTAATAATATCAATAACAAAAACACGTTAACAAATTACACAACAACAACACCAACAACAAAGACATCAAGAAAATCTTTAACACCCACAGATTACCATCGTACAATTAGCTCGCACTCCTTACAAAATCTGAGCGGGGTTTTGTTCTTGGGTAATGGGCTGGCCGGTAACCAACACGGGGCGGCAAATTTACGCCACAGCCTAATTGAGGAGGGGGGTCTGCAAGCTTTATCAACGTCTAATCATGCTTTAAGCACGTCAGCCATTCGTTATGGCAATGGTATACAACAGCGACATCATTCAGTAGGCGATGAGTTGTTGTGTGCTCCCCTAACGCCACAGATACGATCTCCCACCAATAAGAATTTATCACCACCTGCCGTTGTTGTTATACCGAATACAAACGGTGATGATCATAACTCGCCAACGATAGATGATACAAAATTATAGGATTGGAATTGGGTCGGTAAGGGCTGGTTTCAATTGTGATAGTGTGTAACAATAACAATTTGAGAACAGAAATGAGAATTCAACATATCTTTACAAATGTTAGGAAGAGATGTACATATAAACAGGTACGTAAGTAGCGAAGCAAATGATAGACAGGCTTTTATCCGACCGACGGTACTATTGCTCGTATATATAGGATTATAATCGATAAACGTAAATCTAGTTTAGTAACAAATTACTCGTTCTTAAAGCAATCTATGCCATACACATATATGTATATGGTTTATTTTATACAGTGTATAATACAAAATAACGGAAGAAATATTTTGACTGATTTTATACTTAACAATTACTTACCATATGTACACATGGAAAGGATATTCCAAAATGACTACTAACGTTCGTCAATGTTAAACATACATATGTACACAATGTTTTTTTTTTTTTTTTTTTTTATATTAATATATTGATGTTGAACACATGATAATTTTTGCTTTGCTGCACACATTCCAAAAAAAAAAAAAAAAAAAAAAAAAAAAAAAAAAAAAACCTGGGTTTTTATTTTTATCACTAATGAAAAAAAAAAAAAAGAAAACAAAAATATAAAAAATTTATTCAAAAACACTTTTAAAACAATCCTGGAAATTTGTTAATGCTGAGAACTTTGTTGAATAACACACACCACGGCTTGAGTTATATTATCAATTATTTCTCACTTTAATATATAATAAACATTGCTTCCTTTCTTTTTCTTGTTACACGAGCCATCAAATTATTTTAGCATTTCTTCTTTCTTTTCAAATAATATTCAAATCTTGTCTAACATTATTTATTTATCTTTTTCTTTCTTCTTATAGTCTTTAAGTATTTAATAAGATATAATACTTCTCGGTTTTGTAGAATTGTTTCAGAATATTTCTGTAGATTAGGAAACTATTTAGGATATTGAATATACCGAACATATACTTATATAACTAAATGCTTACATACATACTTACCTAATAAGTGTATGTTGTAGAAAGATAACAAGTTTATATTATATGCATGTGTGACGCTTAAAAACGCAAGTATTAATTAATAATATACAGTGTACTTATAATCAATAAAGTTTAGATTTTAAAATGAATATAACATATATACAAGAAAAAAAGTGAAATGCAATTTTTTTTTTTTCGTGTTTTTTAACATTAACGATTAATACGAACAAAAGTGTAAGAAAATTCTATTAAAATAAATATTAAGTTATTGCAAGCAAAAATACATAATTATATGGCATTTTCACTACGTATGCGTGTGCGTGTATATCATGTGTGTGGTTGTCATCGCATTTGTTTTTTGACTTTTCAAGCTTTTTCGGTAACGGTCCATTATAATACGCATGTGTTTTTCCTCCCCTTACATTTTCAAAAAAAAAAAAAACTCGTTTACATTTATTTGCTTCTCTATGTAACCGCTCTTTATACTTATTTCTTATATTACATTATATACGTTATTAACTTTAAATGTTTAATCTTTATTTATGTTAATGCTTTTTATGTTATTGTTTTTGTTGCGTACAACTGTTGTTACTTTACTTGATGACTCAATGTATGTTATGTTATGTTGATTAACAGTTCCTTGGCATTAGTAATGTAAGCAAAGGCGAATCTTGTTCACTTTAGAAAACCATATGATAATAGTAATGTTTTCGCTTTTTAACAGTGGGCATGTCAGTGGATCATTCGAATCTATTTTGAGATTTTTCTTTTTTCTGTCATAAGTTATTAACATAAATTTAATGAAATTTCTCGCACTTTCCGTTTGTGGTGTATGGGCAACGTTGTTCATATTTTCTAAGTTAATCTGTGGAATCGACTCGCGAAAATGTAACAATAGATAAGCGGATAGATATATCCTTCCCTCTAATCACAGGAACGGCGAAAACGTAGTCTAACTCGATCTAAGCCAGGCATGGGTCGACCCTTGATGTCATCGAGTCCGGACAGCTACGTTTAAATATCAAATTATTGAATTTGCTCTCACATAGCAATGCTGGGAATGTCTTCACTAGCGGACATTGTTCTACCTCCTTCCGCTCCCACCCCTAAGCCAAGCTTCAAGTACATTGTTTAATTGCAAAATATTTTTAAGTCGGCGCCCAATATCCATCATATATTTCCTAGTATTTCTCGTATATATCACCGTAAGCATCGTAAACCTATATCTTATCATATAACACATATAAGTGAAATCATAGGTAGTTGAAGGAACTGGAGATCATAGTCAACGGTCTTCTTTGTATGTGTTTTTATACCCTACACTGCTTATGATCTAAGAGTACATTAAGTTTGCGCGGATGTTTGCAAAGTCCAGAAAGACTTGATATACATCCACTTATTTTACCGACTAATTCAGTTTGTCGGTGCGCCTGTTTGGGTTGAAATAAAAAGTCATTATATAAATAACTATGTTAAGCGAAGCGTTTTAGGGTATTTAATGGTGGGCGGTGGCGCGTTATAGTGCTTTTACTTGGCCGCCATTAAGAGAATCCACATACCGGAAATTTAGCCCCACTTAGTAGGAGTGGCAATCAATTTTAAAAAATGGTCGTCTGTCCACTTTTTTTCATATATTAGCGCAAAACTGTAGCAATTCTTATAATTCTATCCAAGATTACATTAAAATGATGAAGAGAACATTGAATTTTCTCGAAAGGTTTTATTTTTCATATATAATATATTTTGATATATTTTCAAAACAGTTTTTCTCCGACATTATTACTTGATCAAATTTGTAGCTGAAATTTTGTTAAAAGGAAACTGAAGAAACTTCGCCTTCATATTTGACTTCTGTGAGGAAAATATATGAACATTAACGTAGATACGTCATAGCAACTTTTATTGATATGTTCCCCTTAGAGGTGTCCCAGTTCACACTAAGACTCATTTATATTCCAAGCTCGGTTTTTTAAATTAAAATTTACAAAATAATATTTGACCGAAAGCGATACATGCATGCGGTACGCGTGATTATTAATTGTCCATGAAAAGTTCTGCCACTAGTTGGGTCTCTGTTTTGTAGTTTTAACAAGTAATATATAAATAATATAATAAATATGGAAATGGTTGAAAAAGTGGGCCCACCTTGAACCAAACCAAGCAAGTGTATCGAATTTTATCTAAATATCTGAAAAATTGCGTCGATAGGCTAAACACAAGCAGACAGACGGACGGACGGACAAGCGTAAATCGATTCAGCACACGAATCTGGATTGATTGGTATAATGAAAATTGGATCTATCTCAAGCCCGCCTGGTTGTTGCGCAACTTTAATACACCCTTATACAACAAGTGATGTAGGCTATAGAATGTACTTCTTTGAAATTATTAAACTTTTGTATTCCTTGTATAGAAAGTGGTGCTGGATGGCCTTGAAATAGCCTGTAGTCTTACGCAGGGGTTGAAGGTTGAGAGAATTGGATATATAATCCGAATAATTTGAATTTATTACAATGCCCCTGGGGAGTCGCAGAATAAATTTATTTACCCTTCAAAGGATGGAATGTGTCTTGCAAGAAGTAATTGAGCGAACTAACCTTACATTAGAGCGACTGTGATAGCAAAAAGGGACGAATGAAAAATTACCCTTCAGTTAAGGTTCTGTCGGAAATGGTGGTTATTGTGGATGATTCTAAATATTATCCTTGATATTAGGCTGTTATGTAAACGATCGTGGCTTGGCAATGTAACGACGTCATAAAGCGGTTAAGTTAACCAATTGTTATGTCATTCTCTTCAAAGATTCATAACACTTGTAGGACCAATTATGTGGGACGGGGTATACTTTGCCTTTCTGTGTTTAATGTAGGGTCCTTTTTTTTGCTCCTTGTTAGCATGAGGCATCGGTTTTTGAAACTCTAGCTATAGTAAAAGGTTGGATCTAAATCTAAAAGTCTCTAGATGAAACATAAAAACGGAAAAGTGGATAAAAAACAGTGAAAATCATTGGAAAATTCCAATACATATCTGGTAATACAGCAGGACTTCTTTATAGCTATTGAAATTTGCCTCGAACGCTGTCAGAGTAATGTATTTCTGAGTAATGAGATTCTGTTGAGGTTTCTGATTGAGGCAACTTTTACTTCCGTTGACATTTTCACGAACTTTCTGTTTTTGAACATAATTCCACCGGCCGAAATGAAATAACTTTTACATTTGATGAAGACGGAGTTTATGTAACTGGTACCCAATGGTCTGCAAATACTAACATAGCCATTAGGAAAAAGAGAAAACAAAGTCTAAAAACATGCGAAAATTTTAATAAATAATGATAATTCAGTTTTGTTTCCATGCACATTGGAATATTGAGACTACTGTCTACGTGGGCATAAGCGCAGAAAAGCCTGTAATTGAAAAAAAAAGTTAAGAGTTTCGTGGTTCCGTCTTTTTCTTTGACTCGGGGTATATTTCAGTCCATGTTTCTTTGATTTTTTTCTTTTTTTCCTGAGTGGCTGATTAGGCAAAGAATCTCGACTGCCAGGTCAATGGTCGCAGGTTCCAAACTCATATACAGTGGAGTTTTCAATAAAACTTTCTAGAACAAAAATTGTTGATTAGGGAGTTAACTGAATTTTTCCATACAAAGAGATATTTCCATTTGTTATTTATGTTGGCAACAGTTTTCTAAAAAACATCTCTTGTGCTCTAGAGGAAGAGCAAACTCTCTTTGCTTCTTTTTCTTTTTCGCTAGTATAACCAATCACTTAGGGGAAGTGTCCTATTCGTGTAACACGCTGGCTCTCGGCAACAATTGACGAGCGAGAGATATATCGAGGTGATGGCTATAGCCTAGTGTGTGTGTCCCCGCTTGGTTAGAGTTATGCGGTCACCAAAGGAGCACTCGCGATAATTACAAGTAAAGTAAAGTTTTTTGAACCCGCGAACACGAACTTGATAGTCGCACCTGGCCAGTTCTTATTTTGTATTTCAAAGATACCGTTTATAAATCGTTGATCAGACTGGAAAAGGCAGTTATTATTTTCGAAGCTTTCACTTTATTGCAGAAATTCCTCATAAAAAGAACTATTTTTAAACACACGATCAGAACATGGGAGGGTAATACTCTTATAGTCTTTGCATTTGCAGTCGGAATGTAGTTATCAATCAAATAGAATCGACTTAATTCAGTCAATTCAGTGGAACAATTCATTTGGGAAATTGAAAGTGGGCAAGCTTCGACTGCAAAGAATGTGGGAGTGAAAATCGTCGTCATTAGTTAACATACATCGTAGTTACCTAAAGGAAACGAAGCAATCCATTGCAAAAAAAAACAAGAAATTCGATTTCCCTTCTGCAACAAATGTCGATCCTTAGATCAATAATTGTTCAAAGCCTGAGCAAAATATGATAGCCCGAAACAGCCCGAACAGCGATATGAAACAGCCCGAATTCGATTTGTATATTGGATTCTTTTTCTTTTGTATGTGACCAGCCAG